GACGCCGGCATAACTGCACGGGAACATCCCACGCGCACCACCCGGTCTGCATCAACGGGCGCCGGGTCCCTGCAGCGCCCGGTCCTCGCTCGGACGCACTTCAGACCGGCGCCCCCCGGCGGACCCCCCAGAGCTTCTGCGTGCCTGTCCCCGGCTGGGGTTAGCCCTAATTTACTTTTTCAAAGGTGAAATTTGTGTACCGCGAAATATACAGATCTTCAGTGTGCCATAGTCTGGCTGGTTTTAGATAGCACGTGTAAGAGTATTTGGTTAATAGTTACGTACTTTAACATGTTTTGGGGGAAAAAACCCTTACCCGGTTCCATTTAAGACAGTGACAAGAAGTTTCCTTTAACAATGAATGTATTTAAATGAGCTCATGTAAAGGGCTGGGAGAAGGGGGTGAGAAAGGGAAGGCACCACCCAGGTGCCCTGCCAGAGCCCGGACGCCTCCAAGAGCGGCCCCCGCCGAGGAGCTCTGGGCGGCCGTGGAACCTGGGGCGCCGGGACGAGGCTGGGGACCCGCTGGGTCAGAGGTACGCGCTGCCTGTGTGTCTGTGTTTTCAAATCATTATGCATCTGCGCTCCCGACCCGACTCCTTGAGGCTGGCACTGCCCCAGTGAACGCAGCACCCAGCACCCGGTACCTGTTAGGTACCTAGTAAGTGTTTCACGAGCTCACGAGTGTGCAAACGCTCTGTAAGCACTCTGCAAAAATAAGAGTTCACAACAATAGCAGGAAATCCCCCATGACCCCCTGCCGCGTGCAGCGTTGGCAAGCCCTCCGTGGTGTTTGTAGATGGATAAACAGACGGATAGGCGGAAGAAGACCGGAGGGCAGGTGTGCAGGTCCAGAGGGACGCCGGGGACTTAGAATTCCAAGTGTCCGGGATCAGGAATACGGCAGTTGTAGGAATAAAACTGCGCATGCACAATGGCAGAGCCGTGTAGTCTCATTACTCTCTGAGCGGAAGAACTTTCTAGGTGCCTCGTTAGCGCAGTAGGTAGCGCGTCAGTCTCATAATCTGAAGGTCGTGAGTTCGATCCTCACACGGGGCACAATACTTTTGTTCGCTCTCAGTCCTTACTGTGACCTGTCGGAAAAACGGGTTTTGTTTGTTTGTCCGAGTTGGGGGCTGATGTTAAGGGAAGACTTAGGGGAAAGGCTTTCCTGGGCCGACTGAGCCGGGACCGGGGAGACCCTAAGGAAGCAACCTGCCAACGCCATCCTCGCGCTGCTGCCGGGGGTGCACAGGACGGAGTGCCCGTCAGGCCCTGGAGGTACCCGAGGACCATCCGTTCTGCCCTTGAGCACTGGCCGTCGCGGGGAGGCGCACAGCCCCGGGTTAGGCCGGGAGCCCCGGTGCTCACAGTCCAGGAGGGCGCCTGGAGCGCAGCCGAGTTCAAGGCCCTCTGGCGAAGGCAGCACAGGAGTGGCTGGGGAACACGGTGCGGGGCGGCGGCGGGTGCGGGCGGGGAGGGGGGCCGGATTGATGAGAGGTCGGACAGTGGAGGGCACTGAACCCATGGTGAGGAGTTTGGGCTGTGGAGCTGCGAAGTGGCGGTTCACGATAGGGTCTAGGGGAGAGGGCTCCCAGGGGAGTCACGCAGGGGGCACACCACACGCCAGGGGCTGTGCGAGACTGCGAGTGAAACAGGTGCTGCAACTGCAGCCCTCACCTATTAAGTTCCTGATATCCAGCCATTCTCAAAGATCCATCTCCTCCCAGCACAGGTCAAATAGCAAGTTAAATTGAGATGGGATAGCTAAACTAGCCCTTCATCTTTCAGCTTTTTGACGGTGGCACTGATCTCTACAACTCCCCCAGGGATAATTGCGGTAATATTTTATACTATTTCATTCCTAGGCACAGTGCAGTCAATTATCAATAGCTCCAAATCCTTTACTACTACTACTACTTCCCTGCTGCCTTTGACTGTAAATGGATATCTGATGGATTAATGCTGCCACTTGGCCTCTGCTACCGCTAAGTCCCATTGTCCTCACTGAAACCAGCGAGCATATCAGTGGTAGCATCTCTCACCATCACGTATGGCTCATTACAGGAGCCACCGCAGAGCTTTTCAGTTTTGCAGATACTCCCTCACTCAGGGCCTTCACGGGGGGAAGTGTCTTTTGGGCCCAGAGCAAAGGTGAGTGAGAAGGCCACGTGTGATAAATCCACTCCCACATTCCTATGTCCCTAAGCCTTTGGATACCTTCATCTGCATCATGCTGGGGAACTTCTGGCATCTCAATCTCATTAAATAGAGGCCAACACTGAGTCCCCATTTCTGTCAACTACCCATGTAAACTACAGGGCCACTCCAGGTGCGTGAGTGTGGCAGTTAGCAATTCATGGCTTCTCAGCTCCAAACTCCCCCTTCAGTGCCTGCTCTGCAATGCCCGACTGCACTCTTCAAGCATTTCTCCTACGGTGCATGACGTTGAGCTGTCAGCAGAGGCTGCTGGAGGGTGCCGCAAGAGGAATGGGACTTCTCTTTCTGGCCCCAATCTGCTGTTTTGCGTATTTTTGTCCTGCTTCAAAGCCCATTAGCGGTGCGTGTGCACTGGGGACATCCAGTGGTGCTCTGCTCCAGCCATGTGCCCAGAGCACACAAACTCTCTTCAGGCCTTCATGGCCCCAGCCCGGTGACCACTTCACTGGAGTCGTCCCAGTATGGACACTGGCATCTTCCAGGTCTCATGTCTGCAGCACCACCCTGAAGTGCTCTGAGCACCTGCCTGCCAGTCTTGGTTTGCCTGTGCCCAAGGGTGGTTACCCGTGGCCCTCGAAACATGGACAATGTGCCTGCCGGGCTGTATACCATCCTGACAAGCAGGGGCCTGATGCTGGGACTCCCTGTGCACTGCCACCCACCAGCCTTGGATTGCCTGTGCCCAGGAGAACTGTTTCCTGCTGCCGGGGGACGTAGACTAGCTGTGGCCTGGACAACTCTGAGACTCTCTCCACTATCCAGTGGTCCGCAACCCACTTCTCTGAGACAAGGTCTGAACCTGAGCCTTGGGGAGGGACGGGTCTCCCTTCCAAGTTCATCCTTCCTTGAGTTCTCTCCCTCAGTCCTAGGTAATCTTTAGAGCTCTCTATCTTTATAGTTGCTGCCTGTCATAATTTAGTATGTCTTTATATTAAACTGTACCTGTTCTACTTATCGTGTGGCTTGTCTCCTGATTGGACCCAGACTGATACAATGAGGTTAAACATTAAATCCAGACTCTCTGCTAAATGTACCTAGTCCTTATTAAGCACCCAAGTCCTAATTTATTAATAAATTAAGCCTTATGCAGTCCTTGCAGTCATCAACTGCTGTAACGGTCAACGTGTAATCACTGTGGAAAGGCCTTCAGCAAATGCTCAAATCTTGCTCAATATCAGAGTTCATACAAGAGAAAAATCGTATGAATGTTAATAAATGTGAAAAGGCCTCTAACCAAATAGTAACTTATTCAACACCGTGGAATTCATACTGGAAAGAACACTCTTTAAGTGCAGTCGAATGTGGAGAGAGATTTGGCTGAAGCCCAACATTCAGCCAACATTGTACAATCTGGACCAGAGAGAAACCTTATGAATATAATAAATATGAAAAGGCAGGCCTTTAATGACCACTCTTCTTTAACAAAGTCAAGGGAATACTGGAGAGAAACTTTTTGAATGTAGCCAGTGTGTAAAGAATTTTAGCCAAGCTCAACACTTATTCAATCCCAGAGGATTCACATTATAAAGAAACTGAAGTAAGATTGAGGATATAATGTTAAGAAGCAGGAAGAGATAATCAGAAATGTATTTCATATATTTCATTAAATGTGATAACCTTTGAAATGCCAACCAAACACACATGACCAAAGAGATTCAGCCAAGTATCTGAAATCTGCTAAGGCAGTGACTTCTTCAACTGGGAGCAATGTAGGCTCAGAAAACTGGAAGAAAGTGAAAAAGAGAACTTCTTCATTTGGTTGAGAGTATTCGCAACTCATGTTCACTTAATGAACAAAAACTTTTTAAAATCATGAACTATTATAATACTATTAGTATATAAAAAAGAGGGGTTTTGTGTGTGTGTGTGTTTAAGTGTAGCTGCAAAACCAATCTGAGTAGATGTAAATTCTAGTAAAAGAGGACCTGAAACAGAGGTAAAAACCCTGGTGACAGACAGCTGATTCTGGCTGGCAGAATCACAGTATTTTAGAATTTAAATGCTTTTAGATGAGCAAGCAATTTCTAGTTCACCAAAGTTCCCGTCACACCCTATATATTGTAAATCCTGTGACTCCTGTTGCCAAACACACACCACTTTGGCTCATGAAGGGATGTTTGTAACCAACTGAAAACATACAGAAAATTAGGCTGAGAAAACTAGTCTTGGGAAACCAATGCCTTGCATAGTGCCAGGATATCACTTTAGGACTCTGCCTGTTGGATAAAAGAAAGCACTCTGCTTACTGAAAATATTTGGTTCAACATAAGATTATGTCTTGTGACCCCAGAAAAAAGAATTACTACTATGTATTACACACTTACTATATGTCAAGCACTGGACCAGGAACTTTATACACTGATCTTGTGTAATCCTCATAAAGTTTATGAGCTATTTCTACCTTCCTTTTAGAAATGGGGAGAGTAAGGTCATGGGCAGCCCTACTGTGGTGCTGTGAGGCAGAGAGGGGGAGAGAGACGGAGAGCTGTTGGTGCCGCCAGGAGAAGCTGGAGAGGCAGGGTCAGAGATGGGGATGTTATGAGCACAGTGGGTCACTGCAAAGAGGAGGTCCTGCTGTCGGGGGGCCAGGAAGACCGGAATTTAGGCTGATCCACACTGTCGTGCTCCACAGTTGCTCCTGAGATCTCTCAGTCCAAGTTGTATACTTGTTGAGATCATTTCCTGTTTTCTATTTCTCCATTTATCTTTAAAATAAACCTTCATCAACTAAAGTGACTGAAGTTTATGCTGGTCTTTGCAACCTGAAAGCCTAACATAACTTTAATAGTTTCCAAACATTTTTATTGTGAAAAGTTTAAGAAGCCATTTACAAGCCAAAAATTAGAATTAAATAAAACACATAATTATGGACACATTTTTCTGTACAAAAGGCCGATCTTTATAGGAATTTTAAATAAACAATCTAAAAATCAGTGTCACTGATTGCAAAATAGGTATCTCTGTGACTATCTTAAGGCAACACGCCTTCTATGTAGCCAAAAGACCAGGGGTTTGACATCTGTTACGAGCCTGGGCGGTGAGTCTCTGGCGAAGATTTCTTACTTTCTTGATAAGATCCTGTCCTGTAGTGTCCCATTCTATCGTTCTTCGATTTAAAGAAACTTGAAAACAAAATTTAAAATTAACAAAAGTTGAATTTTCTGATGTTAGCAATGACACGGCATTTATTTTAAAGATAAACTCGTTGTAAAAATCAGTAATGAAATGAATATTCTAAAAACGAAATTTCTTAAACAAAAAGCCTAACATTACCTGGCCCTACATGGTTTCTTTTATAAGCTAAATATTTATTAGTTGAACAAGATGAATGCTATCAGAGAACTTACCTGCTTTTGGTTACTTAGCATTTTTAAAATTTAGTATACAAACAATCTTAAATTAGGAACAAAGTTTGTCTAAGACAGAATTTGCGTTCTTTGCAACAGTGAGCTTCCTTACTGTAATCCTTAATGGCAATGACAAAAGGCATTCCAAGTCACAAAACTGTGAAATGCATACCAAGACTACTTTTCTAATAATTAAATAAAAATAAATGCTTTTAATATCAGCTAATACTGGGAGAGTCCAGAATCAAGATTAAAATATTACAATGAGTCCAAGAGTTAACAGCTGTTTCATACTGATTTAGAGGGGCTAGTAAATCCTGCAATTTGGAAAGAAAAAAAAATCACCTTAAAAATATACTTCTCTGTAATTTAGATACATATTCAAAGAGTCAGCCTCAATTTCTAAAAAACTATTTTTTCCCTAAAGGAATACAACTTTTATGCTTTGTGTTTTGCTGCCAAATAACCTAAACTTACCAAATGTCCGTCACTCCATTTTGAAATTTAGAATTATCTAGTTAAAAATTTAAGTTCTGATGTGTCAGAATAGAGACTAGTTGAGAATCTCTTGTATTTCATTTGATTCACAAATGGCTTTTTGGTTTAATTCATATTCTAGCCCAGAAATTTAGAGATGCATATAAAAGTAAAAATTAGCAAAAATATTTTACACAACACTGGAATCTCATGGCCTGTTATTAGATACATTTCTTACAAAGCTTGCCTTTGGGGACCTTGTATAAAAGTTCATTCTTCTAAAAGATCTTGTTAAATTCTGCTTCATCTATCTGGCAGTTTGATTTAAAAAGTTGGTTGAAAGAAAGTCTAATAGTTTGCTGTCCCTTCTTCCCTTTTCAAAATAAATAATATGCTTTACTGGGAAAATTGTTAGCTTCTTTCTGGCCAAATGCTGTGATTACGTTTCCATAAGATGTTTCCACCCTGTCCCTTCCAAAAATAAACAAAAGCCCCAGTGAATCAAGTCTGGGGGTCCAAAGGCAACTCATCAGTACAAAGCCATTTTGCTGTCAGCAGTTCTGCTGTGGGCTGGCCCAGATTCCATCAGAGTGCCCAGAGCGAGCCCAGCCCATATGAACAGAGTCAAGAGAATTCAATTCTGTAATAGCTTTGAAAAATAACACAGCAATTTTCTTTTCACAAGGATGTCAAAATAGTTATGAATCTCATATTATCAACTTAGTTAGTGACAGACTTCTGTTAGAGCCTCCAACTATTCTTTGGGGCAGCAGTGCTGGTGCTAAAGAAACAGAGAAGCATTAGCAATATTCAGCAAATTTCCTTTACTTGAAATTTGGTCTATATCCAGTTTTTCCCCCAGCTGAAAATATGAGAGAATCTTGCCGTCTCCATTTTGGGATTTTCATAATTAATGCCCGGGGAAAATGGCATCCGCATTCTATAAATATAATTCAAGCCACAATTTTGCTTAACTACTGCTAAATTTAAAATGACAGAAGCATCCCCAACTCATGGATATTAAAAAGTAAAATAAAATAAAATAAATAAAATGACAGAAGAAATCTTTCTTGCTTATCAACTTACTGTGTGCTGAGGGATCCATTTCAGAAATGTCATTTAATTGTGAGGTTCTAGGCAAACAGCTTGAGGCCACCTGTTCATTTTGGAACCTTGGTGCTTCTGTTATAAAAGCAAGGAGATAAAAATGATGTTTGGGAGTGAGTTATTAATTCCAAATGGTGTCTAGTAAATTAAAATTGCCAAGGATAGTTAAAAACTCCTTTCTTTTCTACTATTCTGAGAAGAATGCTGTAACCATTCAAAAGACAAGGGAAGTGTAGTTAGTGAGAATTAAGAGCTGAGCTGAGCTTTTTTCTCGATTGGAGCTGTTGTATTTTTGCCCCCTCGAACTCCTGGGCTCAGCTTCCTGAGTAGCTGGGATTACAGGTTTGGGCCACCATGTCCAGCTGGAGCTGTTTTTTTTTTTTAACAGTCTTCCCTCCTCAGTTCGCCCTCTCCCACTAAAAAGGGTAACCAGTGATTACCTTTTGGCTGAGCAATAATTTGAATAAAAGTGCTAAAATACACCTCAACGATTTATTCATAATAGATCACATTAAAAGAACGAATCTGTAATACCACAAAGAGAAAGGCACCCACGGACACTCACCTTTATTATACGGATTTGCAGTATGTTCTACAGCAGCACTTATCTCCTGATTTAAAAAACACTTTCTAGATGCATCTGACAGAGCAGCAGCTTTCTTTTCTGATCTCAGATGAAACTCTTTTTCTTCAGCTTCCTTCCACTAAATATAAATAAGTGGGAAAAAAAAGATAACATAAAAACTGTGGCAATGCATGCTCCTACAGTGGAATGAGCCCCTTCTGTTTTCTCTATTCCACTTTCCTCACATCCCCGTCGGGTACCTGGGGTCCCTGTGTTGGCCCAAGACTACTGAAGAATATTGAAAGCAGAGGCAGGTTTTACGGATTGCTCAGTACCTCAGAGTGCCACAAAGCACACATCTACATCTCAGCTGCTGTTGAAATAATAATTCATTTTGATAGATTTCAAATTGCAAACCTTATGAGAGTAAGCTAGTTTTGTCTTAATGGCAATTGAGTTGTATTTAATGTGAATGCTATACTAAATTTAATAATAAAGTCTACAAAATTCAGAGAATGAATTCTTTGCCCAGCTCTGGTCCACATGATGACCACAAGGAAGTATTAGCCCTTATTTTCTTCTCCATAAAATAAGAAATTAGCTCAGAGGGTAGCTAAAATAATAAATTTAAAATACTACACAACTCCTAAAGTTTGCCAATGTTCTAGAAATGCTACAGCTTTTACATGGAAACACATATATAACTCGTATATGTTATAGAAATACTAATGCATTAAATAAACAAAAACCTTAAAGAATCACAAAATAGAAATGCCAGCAAGGACCACAGAGATCCATCCCTTTTGCATTACCGATGAGTAATACTGAGCCTGAGCGATTTCCCAGGCCACTCAGTAGTCAAGTTAGCTTGAGAACCCAGAACACCAGACACAAAGAAGGATTTCTGCATAACATGAAAAGCCCTTACAATGATTCTGTCTACTCTCAGAAGCACCACTTTACCCAAAGTACAGTAGCACCTAATTTCACACAGTCTAGCCCTAGTGTCAGCAATCCTATTCTTAAAGGGGTGGGCTTCCACCACAACTTTCCTGAGAACAGCCTTGGTGTTCTGGGAATCACCTCCACTCTCCCTAAGCCTGTCTTTCCTTTCCTAGAAGGGAAGGGTTATAAGACAGGGCTCCAGGCCACTGGGATGGGGTAGGAGGAAATTGAACCTGGAATAGTGACTTGAAGGAAATATACTGTAAGCAGCTGTCATTCAGAATGGCATTATGATACAGCATCGGAAAGAAGAATGAACTAAAGCCAGTTGTCTAGATCTTGATCTCTCCCCAGCTCTTCAGTATCCTTAGCAAAGTACATGGTATCAGTGATAATTAACTACAAAGCATAGGTCCCACAGTTGTTGGGAAGATCAACCAAAAGATAACATATGTGTGACATACTCTTAGTTGCCTCCTCAAAATCCATTCTCCAATTCTTCTTTAGGAATAGAATCTTAATTTTATTTGGGATGATAATACCCCCAGCTAAAAATACTTTTCCCAGCATCCTTTGCAGCCAAATGTGGCTAGAAATATCATATGGGACTCCTGGAAAGGAGTTAAAAATGAGTTGACTCAGATGGGAGGTAGAGCACTTTATGCACTTGTGTCCTACCTTCTTCCTGCTGCCTCGATGTATGTGACGGCTGGAACTCCAGCTCTTGGATGGTAAGGTATCCTTGAGAATGAACGCCACACACCAAGAAGCAGTGCAGAAAGTTTGAAAGATGTCATTTCCCTGATGACCTTGAAGCCATGACACTAAACCTGGACTTGCCTACCTACTCCCAGACTACCCTTCTATCCTGTTTATAGTCACCGTTATTTTGGGTTTTGTTAGTAGCAGCTATGCACAATTTCTACCTATTCAAAATCTTTTACATTGTAAGTGTAAAGAATTAGACAAAGTAGTAATACTGTTCAATTAGCCAGAACAAATCCAGGAAGCTGAGAAGTTGAGGCACACTAATGTAAATGAGAAAGATGCTCCATCATTTTAGATAGCATCCATATTAGATGACTTCTCTGCAAAAAACCTATTAAAATTAGATTATCTTTTCCAACAAAAATGATTTGGTTAGATGCTTTTGCCATCTGCCTATGCTCTATTTCAAAATTTCAATGCTTAATAATAATAAAAAGCTTATAACACTATTACCTTCTTGGCTTCCTCCTCCAACATTGCATTTAATACCTCTGTTTCTTTCTTTCTGTTTTCCTGAAGGAGTTTGGCTACTTCCCGGTAACATTTACTTCGCTGTAGATCATCACATTTTTGTTTATATAAAGTTTGAATTTTCCAGTCATTATTTAGGCATGCTTGTTCAGCTTTTGCTATATTTTCTTTAATAACCTAAAAAAAGTTGTAAATATCAGAAACAAGGTAGGACTACATAAAATTATGGTATATCCATTCAACGTACCCAAGTGCCTGAGGCAGTTGTTCAGAACGCCGGCTGCATATTAGAATCACCTGAGAGTGTTTCAAACAGACTGACATCTGGGCCCCACCACAAATCAATTTTAAATCAATCTCTGGGGCGGCTGGATATTGGTACTGTAAAAAACAAACGAACAAAAACTATCCAGGTGATTCTAATGGAGAGCCAAGGGTGAAAACTTCTAAGCTAGAGGATGTGTAGGATTGAACAATTTCCATGTCTTCAACAGATTGAGGAGTCAAAAGAGCCCATTTTAACAGACTGGACAAAAGCCTATAAGAAAAAAATAGTGGAGTATTTTGGAAGAATCAGCTAAGAGACTGTTGTAGAACAGGTCTCCACCTGACACTATGCCTGGTTTTTGGAATAGGGCCAGACCCAGACACAAACCCATTTAATATTTTGTCACAGAGGTAATAGAGAAAGGTCTTCTTTGAAAGTCTCAATTTCTATTTCAAAACACTTAAGTCAGCATTTCTGAAAGGGTACTCCATAGGAAACTCTTTAAAATCAATGTGGGAAATTTTCTTAAAGATTCACAATGTACAATATCCTCAAATTTGGCATGAAACATATCTAACTTTAAGACAGCATTTCCAGCACTTATTTGACCACTCCCCATTTTACTGAATAATAGTTATCAATATTCCACAGAATATACTTTGGAAGTGCTAGCTTATATATAAAGCAGGGACCTGCTGTTTGCAATTTAATCCACTCAGGGATGATTTCTTAGGCAGAACAGAGTAGGACAGTATAATTTGTAAAGTTACTATTCTTTTGTATTTTCTTGTAAGTCCTAAAATTTCAAAGGGTATGAAAAATACATGTCTGTGACTGTCAATGGAGTAAGCACACTGTAAATAAAAGAAAGCAATGTGAGACAAGAAATGTGACAATTGAAGCAAATTAATTAACTCAACTTTACAGTGTAACTTCAATTTTGCTCTTTTAAAAGGGTAACAGATAGAAATTCCCCTGCGATGTATACACTAAATTTACCATATTTTTACCTTCTGAGTTTGTTGGATCTGACTTTGATCTGTTTCTACCAGTTTATGAAACATATGTTCTTCAAGATCCACTTTCCGTCTACAGACATCTGCATCTTCTCGCATTTCTTTTGCAACAGCTTCTTGATTTCTGGTAAGATTCTGTTAAAAAAAAACAATTTGTAAAAAAAAAAAATCACTGATTTATATAATAATGCCAGGACACAAAAATGACTTTTCTCTTTTCAGAATAGTCTTATGCACACAAAAACTGCAACATCTAATTTTCAAAGTAAACAGCAAGGAGTGGTGACATCAGTGAAAATGACAAAGGACGGATGTCTGAAAATTCCTCCATAAAAGCACTGAAAACACTGACAAAAATTGTCAAAATCAACTTTTTCAGAATTCTGGAAATTAACTGAACGCTTGTAGCAATCTGGGGGACACTTATTCATAAAAATGACTGAATCTCAGTAAGAAGAACAAGCTCTGTAACATTTTAGCTTGTGTTATTCCTACTCCCACCCCACTCCCAAGACTGGTCCTTGACCAGCTGCTGGGAGATAATCTCTAAACCCTTGGAATACCCTTTCTGATAGGAGTGTCTTTGTATACCTGGGGATTTAGGCCATGCCAGGCAGTTTATGCCAACAAGGTGACTTGGTAGGAGCCATAGGCCATGGCCCATGCTATATGCTACTTACTTATTTGACTTCTGGAAGGGCTGGAAAGAAAGTAACTAAAGTCAGCCACGTGGGTACTCCATGCCTACGTGACCCCCAATAAAACTCTGGACACCAAGGCTTGAGTGGGTTTGCCTGGTAGGCAACACTTGTACATACTATCAAACATGTTTGCAGGGAAAATTAAGTGCTCTCTGTACAACTCCATTGGGAGAGGAAAACTGGAAGCTTCTGCCTGGTCTCCCCTGTATTCTACCCTATGCGCCTTTTTCCTTCATTGATTTTATTCTGTATCCTTCTAGTGTAAGAAAATTTAACCATGAATATAAGAGTTTCTCTTGAGTTCTGATAGTCCCAGTGAATCAATGAACCCAAGGGTGGTCTTGAGGACCCCGACACAGATATATACATATTAGCTCATTTAATCCTCATAGCAAACTTTGCAAGACTAGTATTATGCCAGGGAGAAGGCGCATATATGTGAAAGAGAGACAAGAGACAGCAAGTAGACCTGACAAAACGAGGTCCTAGAAGATGATGAAGGGATAGGATCTGGATTACAGGTCAGTATTTATTTATTTATTTATTTTGTTTGTGCTTAATTTTTTTGTTAAAAAAAATTTATTTAAATTAGATATGAAATGCTGGGCTTGTATAGAGGTAATCGTAATATTGTCTGTTTTCTGGGACAATTTCTTTAGAAATAGACAGATTTAATCAACTAAATGTAAGAGATAAATTCGACAGGTAAAGTATTAATCACTAAAACTAATTTGAAAAAGGTGGTAGCAGCACATTATATCCAACTGATCAGATAAAGTTCAGGATTTCATAAGTTAGTTTTGTTGAGTAGTTTAACTCTTCTCTGACCCTACTGGTTTGCTTAAATAAACACTTCCTTCCAGGGATAGCAAAAAGGGATTAATAAACATTTAAATCTTCCTTCTTCTCTGATACACAGAAAGAAACTCAGCATAACTTCTGTGGCATTCTTGCCAGAAGTGCATAACTTGAATCTTATCATGAAGAAACAACAGATATATGCTAATTAAGGGACATTCCACAAGATATCTGGCCTATATGCTTCAAAAAATGTCAATGCCATGAAATGCAAAGAAAGATTCAGGAATAGTTCTCATTTAAAGGCGACTAAAGAGGCTGGGTGCAGTGGCTCGGGCCTGTAATCCTAGCACTCTAGGAGGCCCAGGTGGGAGGACTGTTTGAGCTCAAGAGTTTGAGACCAGCCTAAGCAAGAGTGAGACACCATCTCTACCAAAAATAGAAAAATTAGCTGGCTTCCTGGTGTGTGCTGGTAGCCCCAGCTACTGGGGAGGCTGAAGCAGGAGGATCTCTTGAGCCTAGGAGTTTGAGGTTGCCGTGAGGTATAATGATGCCACCGTACTCTACCCAGAGCAACAGAGTGAGACTCTGTCTCACAAAAAAAAAAAAAAGGAAATTGAACCTCACTCTCACCCCCTTCACATTAAAGAAAAAAGAACTAAAGGAGACTAAAGAGACATGACAACCAAAAATAGATAATCTTAGATTTTCTTTTGCTTTAAAGCACATTTTTAGGACAAGTGATCAAATCTGAAATATATCAGACAATATTATGTTAATTTATGATTGTGATAATTGTATTGTGGTTATGTAAGAAGATTAACTAGTTTTAGGAAATACACGCTGAAGTATTTAGGGGTAAAGGAGCATCATGACAGCAACTTACTGTTAAACAGTTCGGGGAAAAAAAAGCATACGTGTATACGAGAGAATAATAAAGCAAACTTAGCAAAAAATACTGGAAATTCTTAGTATTTTTCTTGCAAATTTTCTGTGAATTCTGAAATTAGGACCCCTGATTGCCACTACTCCACACTCCAAAAGAAAATACAGTAAAATGTAAACTTTAGCTTAGTCCAAATGAATTACATCTAATTCAAAATCACAGGAGACTTAGCCAAACTGTAAATCCCTTGCTCAGTTCTAGAAAAAATTCAGTGTGGAAACTTAAAGTGTTATAGATACGAATGGAGAATGCATGCTATATGTTTTGTCTTATTTAATTTGGACAATCATATGTTTACCTGTTATCAATTAGCAGTTATCATGAATTTCAAACTCAAAGTCTGACTTTAAGAGGGCTGAAGGGAGTGAAAAACTTATAGTTTCAACACTGAATAAATGAGTAACAAAATATTTTCCCAAATAATAAAAATTTATAATAACAAAACTCCTTTTTCTAGTGTTTTGAAAACTAAATTGTATGTACTAAGCAGATATTTGCTGATTTGATTCCAGAAGATTCAAATTTAAAGTACTTTACTGCTCTCACAATATTTACCTTTCAAGCTCCTTGTGAGGTGCTGGGATAATTCTGTAGTAACTATTACACAAATATAGGATAACTTAGTAAGATGGTAAAAGATGCTGATGCAAAATCTGGGGCTTACATATGGTGCTTCAGACACTAGACTAAGCTGCTAACAGAAACACAAATTAAAGAATTACAACAAACTATACATTCAGACATTTTGGCTATGTTACAATCCTAGATGATACTATATTCTACTTAAGAAGGGAATAAAATGAACATTTAAAAACAATCAATAAATACAGTCTAAAAAGGGTTTGTAAAAACCCTGCTTTTCTTATGTTGGAAATAACTGATTTATACCTTCTCATAAAGTCTTTTCTGTAATTCGAGTTCCAGCTGTCTCATTTCCAGGTCTTTGGCTGTGGTAGCAATTTCTTGATCTCTCATATGTACCTACGGCAGAACAACAAACTGTGAATACCAAAAAGAATTTACAAAATAATAAAGATTTAGTAATTTTGTAATCTGAACAATCACTGACAATATTTAAAACAACAGGAATTGGGACTGAGTGCAGTGGCTCAAGGCCTGTAATCCTAGCACTTTGGGAGGCCAAGGCAGGTAAGGATTGCTTAAAGGCCAGGAATTTGAGACCAGCCTGAGCAACACTGTGAGATTCTATCTCTACAAAAAGACTAGAAAAATTAGCCAGGCATGGTGGTGTGCACCTGTAGTCCTAGCTATTTGGTAGGCTGAGGCAGAAGGATCCCTTGAGCCTAGAAGTCTGAGGTTGCAATGAGCTGTGATCGGGCTACTGTACTCTAGCCTGGGCAACAGAGTGAGATCCTGTGTCAAAAAAGAAAGAAAAGGACTCAGGTTTTTGAAACCAGAGTAACTGATAACATATTAATATTCATTACAAAACCTGGGAATAAACTCTCAGTTAAAGTTAAATTTAATGTTTTAAAAAAGAAACCACAATTACCATATGCCCATCTAGACTGGGAGAAGCGATGGCAGTTCTTACCATATTATGGTAAACAACATTATGAGCAAACTTGAGCAATTTAAATTTGGGGTAGATTAAAAATATAGAATGTTTAATCTTATTAAATATAAAATTTATTTAAGGCTCTTCTTGATTAAACTTCTATACTTCTATAAGTTTGCTTTGACAACTAATAACTCCAGGTTTAAATTCATTGGGGACTGTTCAACTTACATGTGTTCTGTTCCAACTTAGTTAATTTAGAGTTCAAAATCTCCAAAATTTGATTACTTGGAAGCTTTTTACTCCTATATACTACAGGGGTTTGGATAAGGCACTCGCTAGACTGAAGAATCTTAGAAATCATTTTAAAGATTTGGCTGCCTAAAGCCTCAATTATTTTTAGGGATGAGAATAAAGTACACGATTATGTGTTTCAAACAAAACAAAACAACAAAAACTATAACCAATCAGCTATCTATCCTCATTCATTTATTCAGAAAACATTTAATGATTGCATTACTACCTGCATTCATAAGATAAAGTGTTATCAATTATGGTAAAAGACATGCTATCAAATACCTATAAAAAGAGAAACAGTCAAAATGAGAATATAGTTGAATGTACAAAGATATATATCCAAGGGGTAAAAGAAACCACAGACCAGGGCCCAGTTCAACTTAAGGAAGTACTGGCGAAGTGGCTAGCTCAAAGATGGGGATGTTTATTTGTATGAAGCAAGAGTAGTAATAATGCCAAGAGGTGGAGGAGAGGTTTGGCATAGCATATAATGCTTTTTAGGAATCTCAATTACAGAAGCTCTTTTGCATATGAATTTTCAGAGATACAAACAGCTATGTGCCAGAGCAAAAACCAGATCAGCTTTGCTTGCTGCTAACAGATGTTTGCAGTCACATGTACGTGTCACTTTGGACTTAAGCAGTCTTTCTTGGTGGAGCCTGAACTGTGAGAGGAGCCTTTTCAGTTTGGCAGTGTCAAGAGCACATCATCAGAACAGGCAGCTGACAGGACGGGAGGCTGGAAGAGTAGGCAGAGGCCAGATCATGTTGCTCAAAGGATTTTATAGGATTCTTAGACCAAAAAATGCCTTCTCTTATCTCAAAGTGGTTTGGAATAAAGACGAAGTTCTGAGCCTGTATTACTTTTGGGGAAGAACACACACTTTTCTAGATAATGAAATATCAAACTCATTCACTAGATGAGCTAATTAAAAGGGATCTTAGATTTTGAAAAGCAATGTAAAATTAATTAGCTTTAAACAAAACAAGAAGTACTATGCTATAAAAAGAGATAATAGATTTCTAATACAGGTGAATTAAAAATACTTTAAAAGACTTAAAAAACATTTAGTATTTTATCTAAAACTAGGTTTGAAACTCCCTAAATTACTGTATAAATTCAGGGCAATCCTAATAAAAATTCCGAGAGAATGGGGAGAGGTGGGAATTCAGAATGTGTTACAATTCTCAAAGTCTATTTGGAATGATAAGCATTTGAGAACACTGAGGAAAACTCTGAAAAGGAAGACAAATGAGGGGAATTAGGCCTAGTTATTAAAATACTACAAAACTACAGTCATTCAAAGAGTGTGGTGCTGCCTTAGATATAGAAAAAGGGAGGAGATCAAGTATGTAAGGGAATTTAATATGTAATAACCATCAGTTGGCAAATGACTTCGCTAATATCTAACAAATGGTATTGAGACAACTGACTTGCCTTTTGGAAAGTAAGCTTGGTCCCTAATTGATTCCTTACATTCAATTTTCAGACATATCAGGGTTGGCAAATTTTTTCATAAAGGGTCAGACAGTAAATATTTTAGGCTGTGTGGGTCATAGTTTCTGTCACCGCTATTCACCTCTGCCACTGTAGTGCAAAAGCAACTACAGAAGATATGTAAACAAATGAGTGGGAACTGTGTTCCAATAAAACATTATTTATAAACACTGACAATTTGAATTTCATATATATTTTTTAATTTAATTTCCATGTCATGAAATATTGCTGTCTGATTTTAAAGAAACATTCAAAATATTATAATCATTCTAGCTCATGACCCATACACAATAGGTGGTGGGCTGGATTAGGCTGGTGCACAGTAGTTTGCCGATCCCTGAGATACATCAAAGATCAAAAAAATAAGAGGAAAACATAAAACTAGAAGAAAATATGCCTATGTGGTACTACAACCTTAGAATGGGAGGGTCTTTGTAAACAGGACACAGAATCCAGAAGTCATAAAAGACTGATAACTTGATTGTCTAAAAGTTAATGTATTTTGTGTGACAAAAAAACGACACCATAAACATTAAGAAACACACACAGACCAGAGGAAAACACAACATAAAACCCTACACTGTATGGCAGCTACTAGCTACACGTGGCTTTTAAAATGTGACTAGTATAAACTTCGATGTGCTCTAAGTATAAAATGATATTGTATTTCAAAGCCTTAGTACAGAAAAAGGGATAAAATATATCATTAATAATGTTTTTATACTAATTACATTTTGAAATACTTTGCAAATATACTGAGTTAAATAAAATGTTACCAAAATTAATTTTGCTTATATCTTTTTACTTTATTAATGTGGCCACTAGAAAACTTAAAATTATATCTGTGCTCACATTTTATTTCTTTTGGACAATGCTGCCCCAAATGACACAAAGAGGCCCTATCAGTAAGAAAAAGACTAACTTGATAGAAAAATGGACAAATGTTATGTGTATATAATTTATCTTTTACAAATGGAAGATAAATAACTGAAGAGAGACTCGATGTCACTAGCAAAAAAACAGGCAAATTAAAATAGACTATTTGTCACCTATCTGCAGTGACAAATATTAAGACCGATGCACTCCAACATTGACTAGACTAGGGTATGGGTACTCATACACTTCAACCATCTTAAACTTCTTTTTTGGAGAACAATTTGGCATAACTTCAAATTTACTTAATAAAAGTATGTGTGCAAGTACTCAAAGATTTATACAATGTAGCAAAGTTTTATTTTTTTCAAAACACTACACCTAACCTAAGTGTCCAATAGCAAAGAATTAAATAAACTGTGGTATAATTCATACAATAGAATACTATGCAACCACAAAAAAGAGAAAGAGACACACATAAAACAATATGAAAAGATATTCAATATATATCATTTTTAAAAGGTCACAAAAACAGACTATATGAGAATAACCATCTCATTTTTGTATAAAGGAAAATATGAGTATAATTATTACCCTATTTATAGACACACACCTGCAAGGCTGTGTAATTAACCATTTTTAAACAGTGTTTCTCTGGGGAGAAAATGAGGAATAATGGAGAAAGCCCATTTTTAACTCCACATATTTTCTACTGGAAGTTCTTTTTATATTGGCCACGGATGAATTTTTTTTTTTTTTTTTTGAGACAGAGTCTCCCTCTGTTGCCCGGGCTAGAGTGCCGTGGCTTCAGCCTAGCTCACAGCAACCTCAAACTCCTGGGCTCAAGCAATCCTCCTGCCTCAGCCTCCCGAGTAGCTGGGACTACAGGCATGTGCCACCACGCCCGGCTAATTTTATATATATATATATTTTTAGTTGTCCAGCTAATTTCTTTCTATTTTTTTAGTAGAGATGGGGTCTGTCTCTTGCTCAGGCTGGTCTCGAACTCCTGAGCTCAAACGATCCGCCCGCCTCGGCCTCCCAGAGTGCTAGGATTACAGGCGTGAGCCACCACGCCCGGCCTAAATTTTTATATTAAAAAAGAATATGTCCCCTAATTAAGAATTAATGGTTAACTGATTGATATTTCTATTTTTAGAGAAATAGTTACCAAGGACACTCGTCAATTTGCCTAATTTTCCTGGCATTTCTTAAATATTTAACCATTAATGAAATATACAAGAGAATAAGAATAAATGAAGGGAAAAGTAAATAAAATAAAGGAGGCTATTAGTATTCGTATGGACTCTACAAATATTATTTAATTTGAAGGTGTTCATTACACTGAAATGACAATAAATATAGATGATGTATGAGTATTAAGATAATAAACCTTTCTTTCAATTTCATCATCCAGTCTTCTCAGTTCCATTTCTCGTTGATCCTGCTGAAGCTTCAGAAAACGCCTTCTTGCAGCATCTTGTAAGTGTATTTCCTTTATTTTCAGCTCTCTTTTCACAGCAGCTAGTCTTAAATACCAAATACATTAAGTGGAACAAATAAAGCATTTCCCAATATGGTTTAATTTTTTCTTAATTGCCGCCTGGTACCTATTTTGACAAACTTTTTCAATTTAACTGGTGCCACTGTAACATAACTGTTTATAATATATAAATGAAAGATGCCCAATTACACAAAGAAGTCTACGTTCATGAAGATGAGTGGTCCACATGCATTGGCTACCATTTTTACATTCAGACTTCTAACAGGTCTACCACTCAGGTCACTTCAATACAATTGATAGCCTTTATTTGAAGGAAGAATGCCAAAAAATATTCCAGTGTTACCAAAGATGATGTATGCTCATCCTGAGAATTTTAGTAGAAGGCTAATGGCTCAACTCGGTAATTCCCCCCCCCCTTTTTTTTGAGACAGGGTCTTGGCTCTGTTGCCCGGGCTAGAGTGCAGTGGTGTCATCACAGCTCACAGCAACTTCAAACTCCTGGGATCAAGCAATCCTCCTGCCTCAATGTCCTGAGTAGCTGGGACTATAGGTACACACCACCACACCCTCACCATTACTCCCAGCTAATTTTTCTATTTTTTTGTAGAGACAGGGTTTCACTCTTACTCAGGCTGGTCTCAAACTCCTGGCCTCAAGCAATCCTCCACCTTGGCCTCCCAAAGTGCTAAGATTACAGGTGTGAGCCACCATGTCAAGCCAGTAATTCTTTTTAACATATACTAGAAATCTGTTTCATAAAGTTCTACCCCAGAATAAGAATCAATAAACTTATAGAAGTGAGTTTCCCAACAAATAGGCTTAGTCTCAATGCTTATCCCATGACTTTGCTTAATTTAAACATTTTACCTTATTAACATACTTTTGTTTATTTATTTAAAAAAATCTTTTTAGAGGTGGGGGTGGGGTGCGGGGAGTCTCACTACGTTGCCCAGGCTGGCCTCAAACTTCTGGGCTAAAGTGATCCTCCAGAATAGCTGGGTCTACAGGTGCATGCGACCATACCTGGCTAACATACTTCTGAATAAGCATTTAACTCTTCTTCCCCTGTCCTCCAAAGTATTAAATGCATAATGAAACAATCATTTTATGGTACAATTGTCTTGTCACACAGGTATGTTTAAAACACAATTGAAAAAATTATACTCCACTAAAAGTGATTTACCCAACACTCTATTACAAAAAAGCATTTTTGCCCACTATAGAATGATGGTTCTAGGGCCGGGCATGGTGGCTGACTCCTGTAATCCCAGTACTTTGGGAGGCCGAGCTGGGAGGATTGCTTGAGCTCCAGAGTTCGACACTAGCTTGAGGAAGAGTGAGACCCTGTCTCTACAAAAAATAGAAAAATTAGCCAGGTGGGGGAGGCTGAGTCAGTAGGATCACTTGAGCTCAGGAGTTTGAGGTTGCAATGAGCTATGAAGACGACGCTGCACTCTAGCATGGGCAACAGAACAAGACTGTCTCAAAAAATCAAAACAAACAAACAAAAAGAATGATGGTTCTAAATAATGTCCTTCAATGTCATTAGATCTTGTATTACTTGTGAATAATCAGTGCAAAGTTATATTCAGTATAGCTTTAAAATTACATTTTCCTTTGCACTGATTATTCACGGGCCCCTTACGGAACTCCCAGACTGGTCATACGCGGATGGTCGCCCTGCTCCCCCAATGAAAGGCCAGCTTCGGAGACAAGCTGAAAGGGAGAAGTTTGCAAGACGAGTTGTACTGCTGTCACAGGAAATGGATGCTGGATTACAGGCATGGCAGCTCAGGCAGCAGGAGAAGTTGCAGGAAGAAGAAAGGAAGCAGAAAAATGCTCTTAAACCCAAAGGGGCTTCACTGAGGAGCCCACTTCCAACTCAATAAAAAGTAACTCTTGCCACCTTTTCCCAGCCTCTCCCTAGTTTTCTTTTCTATCACCTAGATGCCTCATCCCAGCCAGAAGAGGGCCTTTATGTTCCCCATCTGTCTTCAGGACAATAGATCCTGGACACCAGGAAGAACAGGCTGTAAGATCACTGCCTGGAAGGCTTGGATCAGTGCCCTCACTCGTGCCTCCATTCCAGTTCAGCTGAATCTTGCTCTAGGCTTTTTTACTCCCTTCTTTGCAGGCCATAGTACTGGCTCAACTATGAGCAATAGGCGCTCTGCAAACATGGCAAGGGGATAGCAGTTTTTCTGATTTTAGCCAGGCACTCAAGCCTTTAACAGCCCATACACAGCCCAGGCCATGTGCAGTTGGCATCTAATAAATGTTTTGATGAAAAAGGCAAAAAAAAAAAAAAAAAAAAAATTACATTTTCCTATATACCAGTTTTTGCAAAGAGGTATATAAAGATTGTTTTTATTAACTCAAATATTTGCTTAATGGAAATACTATAGCTGGATATACACTGTTGTTCCTAAAATGAAAAACTAAAAGAAAACAGAAATTATTCAACTAACTCTTACATCAAGATTTTTAAAAAAGTGATAAATCATACCTCTGTCTTTGTTGAATCATCTTCTCTTCCTCTTGTAAGAGCATTGCTCTTCTTGTTTCTTCAGCTTTACGAAGTAATTCTTGTTTCTGGTACCAAGTTTCATCTTCGACTCTTTGCTGGTCTACTTCAGCTTGCATATCTTCAACTGTCTGCCTTAAGTAGATAATATTTATTATGAAAACACAATCAAGAAAGCTGAGTAATTTAAGTCCAAGAACAACCAAAACACAAAATGTATACCTGATTAATGTGTCATCAGTTTTATTTCCATATGCAAGATTTAGCTATATTTAAAGTTATTTCTGGCCAGGTGTAGTGGCTCATGCCTGTAATCCTAGTATTCTGGAAGGCCAAGGCAGGAGGATTGGCTTGAGCTCAGGAGTTTGAGACCAGCCTGAGCAAGACTGAGACACCGTCTCTATTAAAAATAGAAAAATTAGCCAGATGTGGTGGTGTGCACCTGTCGTCCCAGCTACTGGGGAGGCTGAGGCAAGAGGATCCCTTGAGCCCAGGAGTTTGAGGTTGTAGTGAGCTACAATGACACCACTGTACTTTACCTAGGGCAACAGAGCGAGACTCTGTCTCAAAAAAAAAAAAAAAAAAAAGATACTTCTAGCCTTCCAATTCTGATTTTACAGAAATACTTAATATAAAAACTTTCTTATTTATGTTTATAATAGATTTCATTTCATCAAAGAACAACTACTCCATAATTACCTCTCTCTTAAGTAATCCAATTCATCATTCCTTATTCTTTCTCGTTCCTGTGTCTGATAGTCCACAATAAACTTTGGATATTGATTAAATACTGGATATTGCCCTTTTGTCAGTGCAACAAAAGCATCGAGCATGCTGTCTGGATGAATGTCAGTAGGCGTGGTCTCCATAAGACGATAAACTTCTCTAATCACAACGCTGATGTCCAGGTTATTCCGATGGTGAAAAAAATACTGTAAGAAAACTTGGTGTTTAAATAGAGATTTACCTAACAAAGCAGTTATCAGGTAGAATTAAAACAAGAGTTTGAAAATGTAAATGTGAATTTTGTCTTTCAAAATATTTTGACTTTTGCAAATTCACTGAGGTTTTCTTAACCCAAGTTTTAAAATGAAGACTCAATTTCCTATTTTCAAAATGTAATACAATTTCACAATCATATGAAATTCTGAAATAAAACTATTTACATTTTAGCTCAAAATGAAGGCTTCCATGACAATAGAAAAAGAATGCTTCAACTATGGAACACCTTTTCAGCTTGAATTTTTCCTTCACAATCTAGAATAAATAAATTATAAAATACTTGATTCTTTAAAAATGTCTGAAATGTTTCCTCATTATCTTGGCAGATCCAAATTCTAAAATATATATATTTTAGATATTTATATGTATGTATCATATGATCATGAAGTAAAAAGAAGTCACACACACACCAAAAACCCAATTAATTCATCCTGCTTACCCAAAAAGCCTCTCCTTTTCAAAACTACCTCTAATGTTTCTTTCAGTCACTTTCCTGGCAAGCCTCAAAACTCTGATTGTTACCATTTTGCACATGTAATAAGCATCCAGACCATCCCAGACCAGATGGGTCAGTGATAAGATCATTCAAGAATAAACAACTACTCAACTGTTAAACATCCTCTATGAAGACAAAAAGCACAAAATGCCAATATTATCATGATTCTTTTCTGAATCTATGATTTCAAGACTAACAGCCTGCTGTAATTGTTTAATTTCTACAAACTGTATTTAGTTCAGGGATGTGGTCTAATTTGATATCCATTATATCCCTACCACCTAGCACCAGTGCCTGACATACAACAGGCACCCGATAAATAAACGGATTTTTCAATTGAAATAACTGAAATTTGAGAAGCCCCTCTTAAAAATAAGGATATTTACCTCAAAATCATCTTTAAGATTACAGTTGAGCAAAGGAGCTCTAGAACATACGTTGTAGGCTACAACAGTCATCAGGAGAAATGAAGGATGGTTGGAAAAGACATTATCAAACAATTTGAGCCATTCTTCTCTTGTCAGTACTTCTGAGAACACAGTTTCAAGAAGAGGCCACGCATACAGCTAAAGTAAATAAGGAAAAATTTATTAGTTGTCTAAGGAAAAGTCAAAATAGAGTCATTGCTATTATAATATTCTCTTACATTTAAACTATGAAAATCATTGTATTAAATACATAATTATGAAAAGAACTACCTTAATTTGGACCCTTCTTTACAGACTTTCAGGAAGGCAGTTTAATGAAGAAAAAGAATGGAATAGTGTTAAAAATACAAAATGTAGTATGCTTTTTATTACCCTCCTTCAAGAAAATACTGTTTTATTTATACCAGAACCAATGTTAGCTTCCAAAGTAAGTTATGTTATTCTAAAAACCACATATTTCTTACCTGGGAAGTTACATCATGATCTACGAAGTGTTGCAGCAGTTGTTTGTCATGAAATGCCAAAACGTTTTCTATCATACTAAGAATATTGATAGGAGGATTAGGAAAATATTCAAACCAATGTTGACACCAATTGACTATGAAGGAAAAAAAAGGAAAATTTATCTTTAAATATCTTGCTTATCAAACCATTTTGCGATTCTTAAATGTATCTACTAGGCTGGGCGCGGTGGCTCATGCCTGTAATCCTAGCACTCTGGGAGGCCGAGGCGGGCGGATTGTTTGAGCTCAGGAGTTCGAGACCAGCCTGAGCAAGAGAGAGATCCCGTCTCTACTAAAAAAATAGAAAGAAATTATCTGGACAACTAAAAATATGTAGAAAAAACTAGCCGGGCATGGTGGCGCATGCCTGTAGTCCCAGCTACTCGGGAGGCTGAGGCAGGAGGATTGCTTGATCCCAGGAGTTTGAGGTTGCTGTGAGCTAGGCTGAAGCCACGGCACTCTAGCCCGGGCAACAGAGTGAGACTCTGTGTCAAAAAAAAAAAATAAAATAAAACAAATTCAACTTCCCAAAGTATTCCTGATCCAAGTTCCAGGGCATTCTGGTTCCTCCTGACTCCTGTTTTGTTCACTTCCTGATTAAAAAAATGGTCTTTTTAAAAAAGGTCCTTATTTAAGTTTTCATTAAATGTAATCAATGTTAACATACCGATCTCCTCAAATCTACTAAAATTTATACATAGTCAACATTAGATAAGCTTAGGAAAGATGTTCAAAATTATATTCTTACATATAGATAGCAATATATAGAAACATTTATCTCTATCCATTAAATGTTATGAGAATAAAAAAGTCCTCATATCTAAGAAAAGACTGATTGTTCTACAATCATAATAATAAGTAACCACCAGAACTGGTTTTAAATCTGTCTAATTGATCAATGACAATTTGTTTCAGTAAACTTGATTTTGAAAACCAACCAATAACAGCGGCATTCTTCGAAAGTCAGCTAGTCCAAGGTAGAACCCACTCCACTGAATAGGATTCTAAGGCTGACTTTAACTCACTTGCACTCCGTAATCAGTATAAACCCCTCATCCCAAATTCTTATCAAAAACCCTATATAAGATCAGTTTGTTTTGCTCAATGAGCCTATGTTTAACCTTTCCTTTACTTAATTATTAAATGCTGTTTTTTATTTCAAATATTGAGTTGTGGTTTCATTCTTTAATAAGATCTCCTATCTCAAATTAGCTAAAGAAGTCTTTATCAGAATAAAGACTTATATATGGATTATATATGGTTTACAAGGACTTTCCAATTCTGAATTTCCATTTATTTCCTTTATTACTGAGCATTTGAGTTAATAATTAAGTCATAAATAAAATCTTGCAAAGACTAAGCTTTTACAAATTCAAATTCTTTAAATTGCAGCTCTAAATTTTAAAAGGAAAATCTGGTTTAGCAACATTTACTAAGTATCTATTATGTCTCAGACACTGCTAGTTCTGGGAAACTAAAATGCCACACACAAACACAAAACCCTGATCATTATATTTAATCTTCATTAATAGAACAGTTTTCCATTAGCAAGAGGGAAACCCTGTTGTACAGTAACCATTTGCCTTCTCTTAAGTATTTTTATGCTGCTTTGATGCTACCACAAAAATATGGGTAGAGGACTTAGAGAGAGAACCAACAGAAAGCAAAATGAAGAGAATGATAATCATGTGAAGATTCTTTACTAAACCCAAAGACATTCTGCCTGGCTATAAAAGAGACTCTAAATAGTGTTTAAAAATGACTTTTATAAATATATTCCTAATTATACATAGAAGTGATTGTTTTCCTTCGAAGGAATATGTCGTCTTCTAGGTCCCAACTAGACTGTAAACCTAAAAGCCAAAACAATGGTGTATCCCAAAGAGTACCAACATTTAATTAAAGCTCATTCATTTTTTTTTTTATTTTAACCAGCTCCATAAGCAAGAAGGCTCATTCATTTTTTAAAAATTGTATTTACTTAAAAGCATTCAGAATGTCACCAAAACAGCTTCAACATTTTTTTTTTTTTGCAGTTACAGAATGGTATTCAGTTAACAGAACAATTATTTCTTATAAGTTGCATCAGAGACAACTGAGGATGAAAAAACTACCATGCCCTTAAATTTCTATGCTAATTTATAACCACCACACCATAATAGGCAAGGTTAGTGGCTATTAAAAATACTACCAGGAGAGGACTATTTAAAGACACATTTGGTGGTGTGTTGACTCTACAAAAAAAGACATGTACAGTCTGAAGACAAATCTTATGCAGTCTTAAATTTCAATTTTTTTCTTTAAAAGTTGTGTACAGGGTTGTTAAACGCTTTATAGACAAGAAAAAAAAAACTGCGCTAGAACCAACTTATTCCTCATCATCATCTACTTCATCTTTTTCCTTCTCTTTCTTTTCTTGCATTTTTCAGCCTCTTTTGCCACATCAGGCTTTCCTTTAGCTAGGTATGCAGTAACATCCTTTTCACATTTTCCCTTCAGCTTAGCAGCCTTCTTTCCATAAGGCTGCTTGTCACCTGCAACAGTGTCATTTCACATCTCTCCCAGTTTCTTTGCAACATTACCAATCGGTAGGCCAAATGTTCTCTGATTTCGGGGCGAAACTCAGCAGAGAACAAGAAAAATGCCAAAGGAGGCCTCTTGGGGTGCACTGGGATCCTTGAACTTCTTCGTTTCCCCTTCAAGGAGGGAGATAGGCTTTCGTTTCTCTTTCATAATAAGCCTTATCTGTCTTTACCATGTCTTCAAGTTTTCCTTTCTCTTTGGCAGACATGATCTTCCACCTCTCTGAGCACTTTTTAGAAAACTCTGAGTTAGCTGGGTGTGGTGGCACGCATTTGTAGTCCCAGCTACTCGGGAGGCTGAGACGGGAGGATCGCTTGAGCCCAGGAATTTAAGGTTACAGTGAGCTATGATGACATCACTGTACTCCAGCCTGGGCAACAGAGCAAGACCCCATCTCAAAAAACAAACAAACCAAAAAAGAAAATTAAAGAAAAAAGAAAAAGAACTCTCAGAAGTTGCCTGAAGCACTTGATGCTCCTCTCAGCAAGTTTGTACAAAGAATATACCTGATGACATTTTGCCTCTTGGCTTCTTAGGATCGCCTTTGCTTGTGCTTAGTTATTTTTCTCAGCAAGGTACAGAGTCACCCAGTACCTGTCTAGCTCTCAACTGCGCTGCACCATCTCTCTGGAGCTCAATGTCCTGCCATGGCCGTCAAAATGGGAGCCAGATGCAGCCTGCTTACTTGCTCCGCTCTGTAACATTACTCTTAATAAATGTTTATTGAACAAAACTCACTTGAGACCCTTGATAAAAGTCACAGCTACTAGTGCTGACCATTATGGAGGAAACGATAATCTACTAGATTTAGATTTCAGGTATGTTTGTTTAGAAGAGAAAAATCAATTTCCTTAGTACATAATAATATTTTAGCTATGTAAAAAGATTTTACTGGAAATAAAAAATTTAGTTTTGCATGCCTATTTAAGTTAGCTATAATCTGTTTCTTTCTTTCTTAATTGTGGTAATATATAATTTGCCATTTAAGCATTTTAACCATTAATGCTAATTCAGAGGCATTAATTACATTTACAGTGTTATATAACCATCAATAGTATCTATTCCAAAACCCTTTCAACAGTCCAAACAAACTCTGAACCCATTCAGCACTAACTCCCTGTTCCTTCTTCCCCCACACCTGGTAACCTCTCATCTACTTTCTGTGTCAAAGAATTAGCCTATTCTAGATATTTCATAGATAAGTGAAATCATATTTGTTCTTTTTGTGTCTAGCTTATTTCACTAGGTATGTTTTCAAGGATCACCTATGTTTTAGCATTTTTCAGAACTTCATTTCTTTTGATAGCTAATATTCCATACTATGTATATACATTTTGTTTATCCATTCATCTGTTAATAGACACTTGGATTATTTCTACCTTTTGACTATTGGGAATAATGATGCTATGAACATTTCACACACTAGTATCTGAGCCTCAGTTTTCAGTTATTTTCGGTATACACGTAAGAGTGGAATTGCTAGGTTATACGGTAATTCTGTTTAACTTTTTGAGAAAATACCGAATTGTTTTTCACAATGCCAAACTTTCCCACAGTGACTACATCATTTTATGTTCCCACCAGTAAGGTATGAAGGCTCTGATTTTCCCACATCCTAGCCAACGCCTGTTGTTATGGTGTTTTAAAATATAGCCATTCTAGTAGGTATGAAGTGGTATCTAACTGTGGTTTTAATTTGCATTTCCCTAATGACTGATGACGCTGAGCATCTTTTCACATGCTTGTTAGTCATTTGTACATCTTCTATGGAGAAATGTCTATAAGTCCTTTACTCATGTTTTAATTAGATTGTCTCGTTGTTATTGTTTCATTTCCCTTTAAAACACTGAGTGTTATTGGTAGAGCTAACTAGTACAACCCTTTGAGAGAATCAATTATTCATATTTTATGACCTATTAATACCTTTTTTGGAAATCTACCCAAAGGAAATTATTATAAACATATATGTGAAGATGGTTATAATATTATTGCTTTTAATAGGTAAAACTAGAAACAATCTAAATATCCAACAATAATCTAAATATTCAATGCAAATTATGAAATATTACAGTCAGTAAAATGTTTATGAAGTTTATAAAAATAAGGGAAATGCATATAACATTAAATAAAAGCAGTTTAACAACAAAAACTGCTTAAAAGGTGTGGAAAAAATTAAAAAAAATTCTTGCAGTTGAGGAATAAATTATGGTATATCTATAAGATGAAATATATTATTTCAGGCAATAAATTATGTTTTTCAAAAATATTTAATGATTTGGGAAGAAATGCTCTTATAAGAAATTCATCAACATATTATCAAAAATTATCTCTGGGGAAGAGGAATATTGGTGAATTTTCTTTTCTTTTGTATATTTTTCAAATTTTCTCCAATAGTAAGTAAAAAATTATCAAAACAGGCACAATGTAATAAAACAGAAAAGTGTACAGGGAAATACACTAAAATATTCATAATATATATGCTTGAAACTTTTTAAAATTTCTACCTTTTAGAATATTATAGTTAAGTATGTAGCTCTTTTGTACAAGAAAAATATTAAGTGATTTAAAATACATAATAATGACTTATTTTTCCATGTAAATAATGACTGGGAGTAAACACAATGGCTGGAGTACACACTTTGGAGTCTGACTGCCTGGGTTCAAATGCTTGCTCTGCCCCTAAGCCAAGCTTGGGTAACTTAAGCTCTCTATGCCTCAAGCTCCTCATCTGTAAAAAGGGTATAATAACAACACCTACCCCATAGGATTATTGTTAGGATTAAATGAGTTAATAAAGGTAAAACACTGAGAATGGTGCCTGGTACACAGAAAGTACTCAATAAATGTTAGCCGCGGATGCTGAGGATGAAGACAGCAGCCAACACATGGGCACTAAACACAATAAGGACTGTGTGCTAAATGCTTTACACACTTATAACCATCCTATAAGAATAATAGACTTTTAGTAAGTGAAGGAGCAGCTTCATTCTTACTAACAAAATCCAGTCTATAACAATATCTTCTAAAATTTATCCAAATTTTCTTCTAAATAAAAAGGTTTATATATAAATGTTTTAATTGTCCATTTTATGCTCTATACCTGATTTTTTTCATACTTTCTTGACTTAAAAGTAGAGAAATCTAGAATTGTTAAATGTTGCAAAGGTACAAAGATATCAGGAAAATGTATAGAAATCCATTCTTGGTTTCATTCTTCAATAATTATTTACTTACTTATGAGAGTAGCAACAACTTCAAAACAGACGAGTTGGTTGTTCTGGAATAATTTTACAAATGGAAATGCCAAGAGTGGAAGATATGGTGTGTCGCTAAAGATGACAGACCAGTGAGCTAATGCAGATAGGGTTCTGTGAATAAAATAAGTATATAAAGACCAGAAAATAATAACTTATTATTAAAATTTATTTGAATAATACATTTACATGATAAAAATTTGATACAAGAAGTATACTTGGTGAAAATTCTCCTTTTTACCCTATCATTTGGTTCACCTCTCCAGAAGCAACCACTGTTAAAAGTATAAATCATTTTTTTTTAAAAAAATCACAAATGGTGGTAATAAACATTGTTCTGCATCTTGCATTTTTCAATTAATGGTATCTTGGAAATAGGTTATATCAGTGTGTACACACTTCCTCATGAAATTTTACAGATGCATCTTCATTCCTTTAACACGATCCCTATTCTTGGGCATTTCTTTCCAATCTTTTATAAACAATGCTGTGCTTAATGTCACTGTACATACTGTATATCATTCTTCATGTGGAAATACAGATCTGGATAAATTCCTAGAAGTGGAATTGCTGAGTCAAAGGATATGTGCATTTGTAATTTCAATAGCCAGTGCCAAATTAGCCTCCACAACAAATGTCTATTTACATTCCCATCATCAGCATAAAAGGATGTCTGTTTTTTCACATTCTTGCCAAAATATTTTATTATCAATTATTTTTTTAAACCATTAATCTAGGTAAGAAAAGGTACTTCAATGTAGTTTTAATCGGCATTTCTTTTATTATGAGGGAAGTTAAGCATCTTTTCATATTTAAGAACCATTTCCACTGCTGTGAACTATACGTTAAACTCCTTATTCATTTTTTATATTGGCTGACCCTTTTTCACACTTATTTATACAAGCACTTCGTACATTAAAGAAACCACCCTTTTGTCATGTTTTCTCAATTTTACGTGTGTCTTTGTTTCGGGAATTTTTTTTACATGTAGAGGTTTTTATCGTTATCAATCGTTTCTGGATATACTTAGAATGGCCTTACTCTGGGATTACAATTCTTCCACATTTACTTCTAACACCTTTAAAGTTTCTCCCTCTTTAAGCTTTTTATTTGAAATAATTTTAGACTTACAAAAAATTGCAAAAAGTATAGAGATTTCTTGTATACCTTTCAGCTAAATTCCTATAATGTTAACATCTTACATATAATTATCAATGCTAAGACATTAACGGCACAATGCTAGTAATTAAATTATGGACTTTATTTAGATTTTACCATTTTTTTCCATTAATGTCATTTTTCTGTGTCAATTTTTCACTTTGCCAATCCAAGATTGGCATGTTATGTCTCTGTAGTTTCTTCCAATGTGAGAATTCCTCAGTCTTTCCTTATTTTTCATGACATTGCCACTCTTGAGGAATAGATTTGGGTTTGCCTGATGTTTTCTCATTATTAGAATGAGGTTATATATTTTTGGCAAGAATATCACAAAAGCCCACCCAGGGATGCACAAAAAAACAAGAAACAAAAAACAAAAACAAAAACAAAAAACATCCCCCAAAACAAAGAAAAAGTAGAATACCACAAAAGTGATGTGTATCATACTGGTATGTCTCATTACTGGTGATTTTAAATTTGGTTACTTGGTTAAAGAGGTGTCTGCCAAGTTTTTCTACTGTAAAATTACTATTTTTCCACTTGTAATTAATAAACATCTTGGGGGAGATATTTCTTAAGACTATGCAAATATCCTGTTATTCCTCAAACTTCTGCAGGCAAATTTTAGCATTAATCAGTAGATCTTGCCTGTAACAATTATTACTAAGGTGTACTAATGGTGATTTTCTATTTCTTTAATTCCTTCTACATTTATTAGAGTTGCCTCTTCCCCCATTTATACCTTTATTTATTCAATTATTTATATCAGTATGAACTAATCGATATTTATATTACTCTACGGGTTATAACTGATTGCTATTGTTATTTATTTTTTTGCTCAAATCATTCCAGCTTTGGCCACTGGAAACTTTTAGGTTAAGTCCTGTGCCCTTTTGACTCACATAGCCATCCTTTTTGGAACGCTTCCTTATTTTATAGCATTATAAGATGCTCCAGGCTCATCCTGTATTTTCCCCACCCAACTCTTGCAATCAACCACTTCTCCAAGGAGCCCTGGTTCCTGCACTAGCTATGCTCATTGCTACTGGCGTGTCCTTGCTGTGCCTCTCAGCAGAGAGAGCTTGGAAATATATACATGCATACGAACTCTTGCATACTATATTTCTTTCAGTCTCTACCTATCTGCACATATATTAAAAACCAACACCACCAATTCTATTCTACCACCACAAGATTCATTCTAGTCTTCCCCTTTTGGTTAGTTGTAACCTCTTTCTCTGAGAGTAAGAAACTTGGCTGTCATCTAAGTTCCCTTATTTAGTTAACCCTAATATACACATAAAGTAGTTTCAGATTTGCTAACCCCATATCCCACATTTACTTCTAGTACTTTAATGGTTTGTTTTTTAAGTAATTAAATCTTTAATCCAAGGGGAATTTATTCTGGTGTAAAATATGAAGTACGCTTTCAACTTTTTCCAGGTGACTATCCAGTCATTCCATGTCATTTACTAAATATACTATCTTTTCTCCACTGCTTTGAAATGTTATCTTTAAAAATAATTTTTGAACATAGTTAGGCCTACGGCTAGACAACCTATCTATTTATATATCAGCATCAGTTTCAATTATTATAGCTTAATAATAGCTTTTAACATCTGTTAAGGCTAATCCCTTCCCATTACTAAATATAAATTATTTTCCAAGAAGCATACTTTAGACTTAATGTGCCAAGCAGAATAATGCACACCCCCTCCCAAAAGATGCCCAAGCCCTAATCCCCAGGATCTGTAAATATGTTATTTCACATGGGTTTTTGCAGATATGATTAAGCACCTTGTGGTGGGGAGATTATTCTGGATTATGTGAGTGGATCCAATCTAATCAGATAGATCCTTAATTGAAGAACCTTTCCTGGATGTGGTTGGAAGGAGACAGGACTACAGAATGGGCAGAGAGATGGCCTTATCAGTTGATTTGTCCATCAGGATTCAAACAAGACTCACTTATTGAATTTGGTTGTTACCTCCTTTAAATCTCTAAGTCTCTTTTACTCTAAAATAATCCTTCCCCTTTGTTAAATTACAATTTTGAATTTTAATAAAGATAGAAATTTAAAATTAAAAAGTTTAGAAAAACAGAAATTTAAAACAACAAAAAAACATTGCTGTGAAATCTTAAACGAAATTAGGACTATAATTTGAAGTACCCATACACAGAATTGGAATTAAAATGATAACATTAATTATAAATATATTAGTAGGCATATAGTTGTATTACAAAAAACCTCAAAAGATATAAACAACCTCCTGCCACTTTAGGAAGACCTAATAGAAACCATCATCTCAAGAAGGACCCCATGAACACACAGTATCTAGGTAGAAAACATCAAAATTATTTCTCTGATAATTTGAATTTTTAATTAAATAGCTTACACTGTGATGTTGTAAGTGTTACTCTTTCCCAAAAAGCAGAGGAGTGTAATGATTATATTCATTTGCTCTTAATGAGAATGTGAACAGAACTTAATGGAAGAGTGAAAAACTCCTGAAATATTCTGTTTTTAAGTTGTACTGCCAGTGATAAGAAAGAACTATCAACAAGTACTTAAGAGGAGCACTCATAATTTAAGAAGTCTAAAATCCTAAGACACATGACAATTATAAGAAATTTTAGGTAACTTAATGGTTACTTCAGTAGCTTTTATTAATAAAATCGATTCTTGATTCCCTACAATGGGGTTAACAAAGGAAAATATTTTCTTT